CCAATCGGATCCAATGTGTCTTTCGTAGTGTGGTTCCCGCTCCTATCTCATCGTACTAATATTATGCCCCATCGTACCAGTAGTCAAGTCGCAACGAAAATCCAATGGTTCCTGACGTACAAAGGTTTGCGACAGCTTGTGATCGATCGCACTCAGTCGCATCAATGGTTGTTCACATCCATCAAACCATTTGCATCCAACATACCATCCACATCCAACATAGGTGACTTGATGATCACACTACCTTCTCTTTCCGCATCATTACTCGTGCCTTGTCAATTCTAGAACGTGTTTTCTAGGTTGATCGGAACTCAAATCAGTAGGTCTTGATTTGTTTTCATCAATACTCAATCTATAGGTCTAGACTGTTTATCAAAGCTACCTTTTTTTGATTTCTTGTTGCGCAAGTGTTTTATCGTTCCTTTTTTCTTGTCTTATTCTTGATTTTCCACTGCATTAAAAATACTTGAAAACAAACCCCCTCGTACGTGCATCATAAGTGGTATCAGAGCTTAGATTTCGATTTTTCCTGATGATTTTTGTTTGATCTTGCTCAATTTATAGATCTTGATGTTGGTGTTTTAGAAATCGCATCAAGAAACCATGAACGTTGACAATCCTAACTTCATGAACACTTTGCATGAAGCCTTGCGCAGTTTGCAAGATGGTGGAGAAAGGAGGCAGCCTAGGCGTGGGGTTGTTGAAGATTGCAAGGTGAACGAGTTGCTTGAATTTTTTGGTGGGGCAGATCCTAAAGTTTGCTTAGATTGGGAAAGAAAGATCGAGGGAATCTTTGAGTTTAAAGAGTTTGATGATGATAACTGTTGTAAGTATGCGGTTCTGAAGTTGAGTAGATAAGCCTCACTTTGGTATGAGGGTTTGAAGACTAGAAGAACTCATGAGGGTAAAGAAAAGATTACTTCTTGGGAATCTGTGAAATAGAAACTTCATAAGAGGTATGTGCCTGCTCGTCATAGATCAACCACCTATAGGAGGATGGCGGATTTTAAGCAAGGGAAACTAAGCTTGGGTGAATACATTAATGAGTTCGAGAATTTATCGTTGCTAGGAGATGTTGAGGAAGCTGGAGATCAGAAGATTGCAAGGTCCACGTTTTGATTTTAAAGTGCTTTGTAGTCTTATTTTGAAGGTAGATGCACAAGGGAAGGCAAAGTACGTGGGAAGTTCTAGTGGGGAAGCTGGTAAACCTAAGCCTTAGGTGAAATCAAAAGCGAGTGCGAAAGCGACCACAACAATTACTCATGTTGTTGCGAATAGTTCCACTATGATTCCGAAGGCAATTAATACGAACAAGGAAACAAGTCTGTCTAAGGTTCATTGCTTTATGTGTTAAGGGTTTGGACATTATTAGAACATGTGTCCAAACAGGAAGGTAGTGACACTTATAGAGGCTGTTGTGATTCGAGATGAGCTATTTGAAGAAGAATCGATGTTGGAAGATACTTTTGTTGCTGATGAAGTTTGTTAAGGAGAATAGGAGGAAGAAAAGTATGAAGCACCAAAATGTGATACAATGTTAGTTCTTAGAGCTTTGCAAACACAAGTGGTGCATACTGATTGTGATAGGAGGGTTTAGATTTTTCATAGCAAGTGTCGTGTGAATGATCGATGGTGTAGTTTGATCATCAATGGTTGTAGTTGTACGAACATGGCTTCGAGTGATATGGTAACAAAGTTAGGCTTAGTAACAACATCCCATCCTAAACCATATGTACTTCATTTGTTGGATGAAGAGTGATGCGTGTACCAGAGGGGGGAGGTAACTTCTTTTTTGGGTTTTTATGAATTTTTGAACGCAAGGGATAATAAGAAAAACAATAAGAAAACGATAAAAAGGATAACTTAATCAAGAAGAAAACAAGAAAAGATAGATGTGATAAGTGATCTAGACCTATATATTGAATATCGATGAAGACAAAATCAAGAACTATTGATTTGAATTCAAACCAATCTAGAATACGCGTCCTAGAATTGACAAAGGGGCGAGTAAGCGACTCAAAAGAACACAAAAGCTCTTTAATTCAAAATTCAATAATATTGTTCATAGTGTTTGACAAAGAGGACCTATTTATAGCCTTACAATGGATACAAAATAAAAGGAAACTAATAAATAAAAGGAACCTATTAATAAAAAGGAAATAATACATAAAGGCTAAAAATAACTCAAAATGTCTCTAGAATTTTCCAGCTCTAGCCGACATCAATAGTCATGCAATTAACCATGTAAACTTCTCGCAACAATGATCCCAACAAGTAAATCTTGCACCCAACAGTAAGCACTTCATAATTGACTTGTCGTTTGGAATTTGAATGCATCTCGGAATAGGAATCTTGTTCGGAACTGAGAAATTGTTCGTATCCATGTAAATTTCGCATCCAAATAGTTTTCGAATCCACCATTCGTTCGCAACCACCAGTCGCTTGCATCCAGTAATACTCCTTGGTTCGCATCAGATAACCAATCCAAGAGTCGCAATAGCATTTGCACCCAACCTCGTTCCAAAATGGTTTACGACAACTAGAGATTGTGATGACTTGTGGTCATTCGCAGTCAATCACATCTATTTGCATCCATAAGTCTTTAGCATACATTCGCCTCCAAAATCATTGGACTGTGATTCATTGCAATCAACATCCTTTTCACAATCAGTACCCGAACCCGATTTGGAACTTAGGAGGCTGCCTTTTGCATTCGCATCATCCCCTCCCCCTTCGAAAGGAATTGTCCTCAATTCAACAAGGACTTCATATTAATGTTTTTCCATATGAACCTTCCATACGATCCTTCCAAGGTTGTCTCTTTTTTCAAATGAAGGATATCTGAAATTATCACCTCTCTGAAAATTAGTTTTAACATTATCAATCAATTCTTCTTTCTTCATACTAACCATTCACTTGGAATTAGTAGCTCTCATGACATCAATCTCAATTTCCATTTGATCCATAGAAGTATGAATCAATACTCGCATTATTGACTGCTTCCCCATCACTGTTGTAGTTAGGGATAGAGTCTTCAACACTTTCGTCCACATCAGCAAGATTAACTGCTTTCTCAATCACTTCACCAATTTATTCATTAAGCATCTCTTCCTCATCCTCGGTGTCATATATAGGATCAGAATCGTCAATGATTTCTTCACTGATAACCAAATTAATCCTTTCAACAAATTCTCCTTCCCCATCAATGTCGTAGATATGGATAGAGTCTTCAACACTTTAGTCCACATCAACAAGATTGACTGCTTTTGCAATCACTTCATCAATTTCTTCATCGAACAACTCTTCCTCATCCTCGGTGTCGTTGATGCAAATCTGGAAGGCGGTCCTCCAAATATTTATTTTTGATCCGAACTTATTTGGGTCCGAACATCTATCACGATGAAAATTGAAGTTGTCGGCTCCGAAATACGCTCAAATTGCGACCAGGTGCGATTGGGCGCGAACCGTCGCGATGAGTCGCAATGCTACGTTTTGGAATATGAATGTGAGGAGGGATTTGAATGCAAACGAGTATTAGATAGATGCGAACAGTTGTGATGAGTGGTTGGATACGATCGACAACAATTGATTTCGAACGGTCGCAACATGTCGTATGTATTTGGTGATCCTTGCGATACGGGTTATAGCAGTGAGGTTCGATTCACATTTGCTAGTGAATCGATGAGAGGGGGAGTCTGGTTGCCAGGGGGTGAATGGATCTGAAGGCTGTCATATTACCAATGGGACATATGGATGCACATGATGACTTTGTTGTGATTGACCTTGTGGCGAAGGAGGTTGGTTGTCCCGAGGAACATGGATGCTTGGTGGATGCGAAGTCTTGGGATGCGAGGTTACTTTACACGTGGCATCTTTCTGGGAACCTTGGCAGTTGTAATGTCACCATTTCCACTTCCCAATAAATAAATTCCCAAGACGTTACAACATTTAAGTCTTTTATTGCTCTTTTTAATTAGTCTTTTAATAAGCCATTAATTGGCATAATAATTAGGTGTCTTTTGATTACTTTTTTGTTATCTTTGTAAGGCTATAAAGCCATTGTCTTTCATTTGCAAGGCAACTAGTTATAGGAGCAGACTATTGAAGTTGAACTTGTGTTCATTTGAATTGTTGCATACGATTCAAACTTTGATCTTTATTGGGATACATCTACTGATTTTGATTCTGAACTCAAATCAATAGGTCTTGATTTTTTTCACCAAAGTTTTAAACTATAGGTCTAGTTTTATCTTCATACTATCCGGTTACTTTGTCATTGTTCTTTGTTCTTGTCGTGTGTTCTTGTTTATTGTGTTATTCCGCTGCAAATTTTGATTCCAAGCTCCAGTTTTCTTATCAATTGTGGTGTTGGAAATCTGAGTCGTGTTGTGGACTTTTTGGAGCAATCCAAATATGCATCGATTATGGTATCATAGATCAGTTAGCGTTGAGTTCTTGTTCAGTAAAAAAAAGGTTCTTCCTGCATTTATCAAAGTCCAGTTCGATGGGGAGCCGATAAGTTCTTGTCAAGGTGTTGCTAATTTTCTATTGTTGATTTCTTGCAAAAACTTGATATTATTATTTTTCTAGCCAATGTTTCTGCCAAGTGTTATTAAGAGTCCATTCAAGATGGATTGGGATGATCTTAAGTTTCTTTGTGTTCTTGGTGAAGCCATGAGGAATGTAGTCGAATAATCGAATCGAATGCAGACTAGGCGTGGGCAGCCAAGGAAGGTGGGGGAGTTGAAGATAAACGAATTGCCTAAATTCATTGAAGGATTCAATCCAAAAAATATTTGGATTGGGAGGAACATATGGAAAGAATTTTTCAGTTCAAAGGTGTGGACGATGAATGGGGTTGCAAATATGCAATTATAAAGTTGAGAGGAGAAGCTAAATTGTGGTATGAAGGGTTGAAGGAAAAAAGAGCCTGTAAAGAAAAGGGGAAACTCTCTTATTGGGAATCTCTAAAATGAAAACTCTGAGAGAATTATGTGTCAATGACCTCAAAGACTCTTAATGTGAACAAAAGGGCAGAGACGTTGACAAAGGCTATTGTGATTGAAGAGAGATTGGTTAATACTTCTATGATCGAAGAAGAAGTGGAAGAGTATGAAGCCTCGGCTGTTAACATGGTTTTGGTACGTGAAACTTCACAAACCCTAGATGAGCAAGTTGATGTTGCTGGCGTCAAGGTGGAAGAAGAAGTTAAGGTGAAAGAAAATTAATTTCGTTGTTGAAGACGAAATTGTTGAAGTAATTATTGAAGAAACTAATTTCATGGTTAGAGATGAGAGGTACGAAGCAATTAAGGAAGAGGAGGTTGAGGATTCCATTCCTATATATGACAACAATGGGGAAAAGGAATTTATTGAAGAAGTTGAAGAAGAGGATAACTCCAAGTTCGAAATTGTTGAAAGATGAAGAAAATACTTTTATTGATGCAAACAAAGTTGTTGAGAAGGAAGTGATTCTGGTTGAACCACGAAAGGAATTACAGGAGTCGTCATCTATAACAGTGTGTTCAATAGTTGACAAACAAGCTTACGAAACCGAGGAGGTGAAGCAGGCTGACTACGAAGATGTGATTGTGATTCGAGGGAATGTAAAAGTGATGGAGGTTTCGCATGAAGAAGACCCAAAGGCTGATTTGTCTATTGTGTGTCAGGATGTGATTCTGGTAGATACGAAAGTGTTGGAGGTTTCTCATGAGGAAGGTCCAAGTGATGATGTGATTCCAACAAGTCGACCACCAGAGGAAAAGAAGGAAGTATAAAAACCAATAGGTGAACCCTTGACATTGGGTTATGTTCGTGAATGTTTGAATCCTTGTTTTACTATTACTAGTTTTGTCGTCTTTCACTGTTACTTTTGATGCGAGGTTTTGCGTGATTGGAAATGGTGAATTTTCATTCATGATTCAAGGACTGCAAGACCAATTATTATTGGATGATGGCAGAATGTTGTACCCTCCAAAATACGATATGAGGGAGGTTTCACAAAGAAAATTTCTTAGTGGTTGCGATCAGACACGAGAATCAACATTACATAGCAATTCTAAATTTTTGTGTTGGCCACAAACAACCGATATGGTTGTTAATTCTGCATTCGTTGATCAAGAACATCAGGAGAGATGGAGTGAAGTTGATGATGTAATAACGAAGAAGGATGGAGACTTTGTTGTTAAGAACCATCTTTATAATAGCAAAGAAGGATGAGTGAATTATCATGAAGAGTCAGGTCCCAAGTATTCATATGGGAAGGATTCATAATGTCTGGATTCTTATTCTTTTGGTTTGCCATAACTTGGGAAGCACTAAAATTGGGACGTATTGTTCATCATTTTGATGATGTGAACCATGATCCGATCCTTCAAAAGAATATAGTTAACGATTTCAAATTTTACAAGATTAATTTGCAGGGTCCTAATTATGTTCATGAGAAGATGTGAAAGTGGTTGTTGTCTCACAAATGGAAGGCACGATTGGGGAGAAACAGGTGTTTCTCAATATATAAATTATACCTAATAAATAACGCCGGTAGCTATGGACTTAGTACCTATTAGATAAACGTTGGTAGCTATGGACTTAGTACCCGATAAATGAACTTTAGCAGCTATGGATTTAGTGCTTTATGAATGGACATTGGCAGCTATGGACTTAGTGCCTGTCATATAAACCCTGGGAGAAACAGACTTTGGAAGGAATGAATGCAGGATAGATAATACTTAGGGTAGACCCTTAAGAATAAAGAAGATAATGGGAATAGGTAATTAGGTTAATTGTTTGATGATTAATCATAATAATTATATTATTGTGGGTTGAAAACCCTATGTACTCACCAGGTTTCCCAACCTGACCACTCAAGTTTATTGTATCACAGGTATCGATATGAAGTTACATTACACTGAGAGATAAGGAGATGTAAATCACTAGTGTTGATGTATGTAAGTTCTGTTTATGCTTATGTTTTTATATTGACGATGACATCCCAAAGTTTTAAAATGAATAAAATACATTTCTTCGGAAATGCTTTGATAACCTATTTATCATGTTTTTCTGGGAACAAATTCCGCAACATTTTTCTTTAAAAGGATACTCTGATTTTCAAAACAAAGCATAAACAAATCGGTCTTTTCTGGTCGTGAAAATGGGGATGTCACAGTTGGTATCAGAGCATTAGTTTAAGCGAACTAGGAATAAGGATATAGTTCTAGACTTAAACTTAGAATGCTAAGCGATGATCGTGAGGAATGTGTCTATTGTACTTTAATACACTTGAATAGACACGAGCACTAGCTCATTTAGGGAAAAATGCCTAACATGCTTTTATGTGCTAAATGATTTGTGATGCTATCGTCTGATCGGATCTATGGTCTGTTACCGACCGGATCTAGAAATCTTATGTGTTCAGATTCCTAAACGTTTAATTACGGTATTAGAACTGGCATATAACTTTTCGGAGTGATAGAGAGATTTACACATCGATCGTAAATAAAATATTTCCTATCTTAATTCTCGTCATTACACACCGGACGTCTGATTTGGTGTATAGGCCAAAATGGCAAGAACCCGAAGTGGAGTAGGAAACACAAATGGAAATAGGAATCAACAGCCTCAACCCCAAGTGATTAAGTAAGTACCTGTAGTAGCAGCTGCACCCGAGCCAATCACGGTGGTAGGGGTACAAGAAATGATCCAGATGATATTGGATCGTCAGATGGAAGAAACAAGGCATCTACTTCAACAAAATAGGGATGAACCTACTATGCCTATCGTGCGGCCTAAACTGAATGAAGAACTGTCGGAGGAGGGAAATTACAGTCGTACTATGAGTCACGTTGGACCCCGAGTGGTCAGGAGAAACGACCCGGACATAAAGATTGACAAAGATGGGCGCATGTATAAGAACTTCTTGGGTGCCAAACCACCAAGTCTCTCTGGAAGCCCAAAACCAGTGGAAATTATGGACTGGATCTCCGAGATGGAGATGGTATTTGAGAGCTGCAACTGCAACGATAAGCAAAAGACCGTCTTTGCAGTCAGATAACTAAAGACCAGAGTGCTAAGTTGGTGGAAGTTGGTGGAAGTTGTTGGCAGATACAATGCCACGAGGAGAAGCCATGCAAATATCTTGGGAAGCATTCATGTAGCAGTTGAAAATGAAATACTGCTCAGAGATAGATCTGATAGACCTAAACAACGAATTTCAGAACCTGAAGAAAAGGAAGATGAGTGTTGATGAGTATGCCACCGCATTCACCGAAAGGATGAATCTATTCCCCTACTTGGTGCCTACTGAACTCTCCAAGGTAGATAGGTTTGCTAACGGACTACCCACAGACTTTGGCCTAACGGTCAAAATAGCAACTACCTTGAAAACAGCCGTTAGAGCTGCTAAGAATGTAGAGACCCAGATAAGAGAAAGGGGCCTAGAAAAAGACAAGGCAGGAGAAAAGAGGAAGTTTGAAGGATCTTCAAGGTCCAACAAGGAGATAAAACTCTCGAAGTTTGGAGGAGGAGGAAGAGGAGAAGCGAGATGGTGTGATAAGTGCAAGAAGAAACAATATAGGAGATGCAACGAAAAAGTAACTTGTTACAAGTGTGGAAGGATCGGTCACTATTCCAAGGATTGTGCACATAATGATAAAGTATGCTACGAATGCAGAGACAAAGGGCACATGTCTAGAGACTGCCCGAGGAAAAATGAAGCAGCAAGGCCAGATGCACCACCAAAGCCAAGGGTATTCCACATGATCCTCGATGAAGCAAATAGCACAGCAAGGAATTAGAAGTAAGGACTTTATATTTGAAGATCAAGATATGAAGTAGCCATGTAGATAGTACCACGTGGTGTAGCCTATTAGAGGCATAGTATAGGTAAAACTTGAACATCTGTGTAATCGTTTCAAGAAGTAATATAAAACTTGGTTTTGTTATCTGGTGTGTTAAGTTGTTATGTGATTTTCTTGTATGGTGACTTGGAAAAATTGTGAGACAATACTTGGGACGAGTATGAGTAGGTGTGAATGTTAGTAGAGGCCTATACTACCGGAAGCACAAGACTCGCACTTGGATCAGGGAAAGTCACATTGTGACAACCCGAAATTTCTATTCTGTACAACCATTCAATTCAATAGAAGTCAGATCAGTTTCTGCTAACTTTCAAGCTTTTTGGAATAAGTTTGAGTGTTTTAAAGTTAGTACTTCAGGAGATAACAGGAGAGAGGATGCCCTAGGGTTTATTGTGCAACAATAAAGTCCCAAAACTCCAAGAGTTTGGAGTTTACGGCCTAAACAAAGGTGTTTACGGCCGTAAACCCTAAAAGGGGGTATAAATATGACACTTAGTCATTATTTACCACTTTTCACATTTTCAAGATCCAAAACCCATTTCTTTCTCAAGTATCATTCGACTTTTCTTCAAGATCTTCAACTTTGTAAGTGTTTCTATCCCTAAAAAGTTGATATCTTACTTAATCTAGTGATCTTACATGATTCCATCCGTGAAATCATTCCAAAAGTGTAGATCTTCAAGTTCCCCCCAGAACACCAAGAACACACACTAGTGTTCTTGGACTTTTAGCACCTTTTCAAGCTTCTACCTAGTAACTACTTCTATCCTAGTGTATTATAAGACTTGTTACACTTCTAATCATCAAGAAAACACCCAAGAATCAAAGGATCAAAGGTGTTTACGGTCCAAGAACACCTTGGACCGTAAACCCTAACAAAGGGGCCAAAGTGGCCCTAGTCCCTTACCAAGCCTTGGAAACTAGTCTAGACCCCTTCCTTGATGTGCTAGGAACTCAAAACAACAAAAAGACCATAAATCATTTGGGTTTACGGCCGTAAACCCAAAGAAAAGTGGTCCAAGGACCGTAAACTCCATAAAGGAGTGAAATGGTGCCCTAATCACTTCCTAAGGCTTAAACATGAAGTAGGAATGCCTCTTATGACCTTTAAGGCTTCAAAACACAAAATGGTCAAAGTACCATGAGTTTACGGCCGTAAACGCATGGGTTTACGACCGTAAACTCAAGGGGTTATGGTCACAAAACCGTAAACTACAAAGGAGTTTACCCTTGGACCCCAAACTCAATAGCAATGTCCTACCACCCTTAGATGCAATCCTTAGTACTTATAACACTTAAATAAGGTGTTTTGCATGTCCTAGGATGTCTTAACCTTGTTAATTAGTTGTTTAAAGACTAATTGGATACATATATGTGTTATTATATGTTAACTAGGATCCTTGTGTGTGTTCAAGTCTTCACTTGACACTTAGCATCCTATACATTCCGTTCATCCAAACCACTCACTACAGGTGAGTTCATACCCCTTAATTAACCTTTTAAATTTTTTTAAATGCTTTTATGGGGGGAATACAAGTTGAACTATTATAGTTATTATATCAATCACATGTGATTAATAACTACCAAACAAATGGATTTCTTACTTTTCAAACTGTGTTACCAAACTGTTTTACTTCAAACTGTTTTACAAACTCTTTTACATACAATGCTTTTATCAAACTCTTTTACATTTTAAATACTTTTTACTTAAACTCTTTTAAACTTATTTCTGTTAAAAGTGTATCTATATAGATATAGTTATTATAAGTAGGGTTGAAAGGACTTAGGACTGATAGCTTACCTTATTTCCTGTTCCTTGTTTGGTTGTGGACTTAGGGTGTTCCGGTTATTTGTCTGAAGGTCGTTTGAATCCAAGTTATATATTATGTATATGTATATAGATACAAAGGTTCCTTCTTTCA